ACACACACACACACACACACACACACACACACACACACACAATAGAGCAACAACAATAGAGCATCTCTCCTACCTATTCCCACTGGGTGATATTACAGAAATGTGTGAAACGATAAAGAGAAAAGCTGCAGTGAAGTTTTCTTGCAGCCTCACGAGTGCTGTAGCAGCGCTCAAAACCAGAGACCACCTCCCTTGCAGTAAGCACACATCTTTACTGTCCTGATCCATACATGTGCCTGCACTTCGGGGAGCACTTTGCACTGATACGCTAAAGCATATTGCGTCCCTAGGAGTATAATCCCTTGGGGTTTTTTAATGAAATATTCATCATGTCTTTTATTATGGTTTAAGTGTACAGGGTACTATCAGCCCGTCTAACCACTTCTTTATATCTGTGACATTTGGAGCTGTACAGTCGATAAAGGAGAAGTAAATTAACGCTGAACACTAGTCTTTTAGCCTCACTTAGACATTTACATTCTCTGACATTACAGCTTAACATGAAGGCTTGCCATAAGCACAAAGGGTTTATGCTTTGCTCTACTTCTGCCTCTTTCTGCACCACGTTCAACCAGTTTGTACTCCCACTCCAACTGCTGGCTGGTAGACTTGAAAACTACTCCAAAATCAATTTTTCACGACTGAATCGGAGTGTTTCTCTTTCTGTTGGATGATGCTTTTACAGCAGATTTTCATTTTTACCACCATCATTCAATCTGTGAGCCTTCCCGGTAATGCACCTGCAGCGTTAGTTCTCTTTGTTACACAGACAGACCTGTTTCTGGAAAGCCTCAAAGTGCACTAATCGACTTCTCCTTTTCATCGCATCCATGGGGCATTTACAACTAAATGTCAAACCACTTTTGTGGAATCTGTTCTCGACATAAAAGGAGAGAGTCATTTAAATTGACATGACATTTTTTTAAATACGTCATCAGGGCAGCAAAGTTATAGATGCGATTGCCAGATGATCTAATTTCTCCTCGGTCATGACATGCAGCACAGATGGGTGATCCTGACAGTGCATTTGTAAGATGTTAAAGACTGTCATGTGAGGAACAACAGCAAGACTAAACTTAATCAAGAATGATCTTAATGCCTTTTTTTTCACAAAGGCTTCAATATATTGTGCAGTGCAGAAATGTTAGCTATGCCTATGCCCGAGAAAGATGAATCATTTCACACAACATTAAACTAATTTATTTCAGGAGACATATTTGCAGTGTCAGCACACTAAACATTGCTTTGTCACTGTTATAGACCCCATTTGCGGGTATTATGCTCTGGGTATGTGTGTCTTTCTTTAATATTAAAGCAAAGACGTCATCATAAATCATAGAGTATAAGGCACATGTTCTGTAAGGATCTGTTACTATGTTTACCTGCTGCTGTAGGTGAACAGGTGACATCTGTTTCAATTAGCAGCTGAAACAGTTGATGAATCTCTCAAGGCTTGTTTCACGCCCATAGATATAGTGAATTAATGGCTGTCTCCAGCTCTGCTTAGCTTCTTATGATGCTTGTTAGGATGGCACCGTCTCGCAGAGCTTGAGGTCCTTGTGGGCTTGCATTTCCCCTCACCTCAGCCTAGCAGGAGAAATTCAAAAAGACTCGCATCCCTCCAGGAAGACAATTAGAGTCATCGCTCTCTCAGTATGCAGCGGTGCCGTGACAGCCAGCTATAAGAACATTCCTATGCATAATGCAGCACTAAGAAACGGCACCCTCCACTGGTCGGGGGGAACATCTGCAGGCTGACTGCGTGCCGCACCATTCAGCCCACTGTGGAAAGTCAAATGAACCGAGCAAATCAAATCAGATGAGTGGGAGAATCAGACTCTCTCATAGCTCGCGGTATAATGAAGCCAAGCTACAGTAGGTGTTACAGTATACGTGGGAAAGAGGGTTGTCACCAAGACCGGCTGTTAAGCAGTAATCATGTGGCTGTGCTGTGAATGTGTTTATGCCAGTGAATCAACATGAAAAACAGAAAGAGCACAAAGAGAGACATCAAGAAAACCTGAATGAGCCTGAATGACAGAGTGGAAATAAATGACGTCAAATGAACGGTACAAAGACACATCTAAAGAGAGAGAGTGGCAGAGAAAGAAAGGAGAAAACAGAGGAGTGACTGAGAGATTAACTCAGAGAGACAGAAGGATAAAGAAAGGATACAAGCCAAAATAAGAAAATCCATCTTCACCGACTCATTTTGGCTGGAAACTTGCTTGAATTCCCCAAAGGGACATCTTGAGCTTCTCACACATGTCCATAAATATCTCTGCAGAAATGTGTGTACAGCACCACTGCATCATCCCATGGGGATATGAGAAATAAAGCTGCCACCATCTACTGTACAAATGTGTTGACTCAGATGAATGGAGGCAATGGGGATAGGTCACACTGCTCATGATTTACACTGGATCAATACTTAGTGATGCTGGAGATAAGAGAGAGTAAACCTCAGACCAGACTGATTGGTAACTCCCACATATCTTTAAGCTATTAACACAAATGTTTCAAACAATAAAATTAAATTATACTCAAGGTGCTTGTAACAACTCTAAGTCAGAGCCCCAGATCTAAAAAAAGGGTGTTCAGGTCCACATAGCTGAACTGAGGTCAGAAAAAGTCTGCAGCGTGGGTTTAAAGCAATGACTTTTAAGAACAGTGATGGCAGAGCACAGACTGTGCAGCCATCTGCCTTCACAGCAGTGCTGCTTCTGTCTGACAGCACTTTGTTTTTTCTCTTTGAATAACAACATGACAGCAAAGACAAGTCATCCTCCTGACCTCAGCAACCTTTGGCCCGCTGCATAAAAAAGTGCTGTTGTTTTTACTCACATCAATGTCCTTTTTTTCTGTATTTTCTGTCATTCTGGGGGTGAAAGAAGCACAGCCTGCTTCAGTGTTTGAAATGTAGAGGATGAAGGAAAACTTATGGGACTCACATCCTGGGTGTCATGGAAGGTGTTTATCCCTTCATGGAAGTGTTGCAGATGGAGAGTGAAGGCAGAGGATGGATGTCACACACAGGTTTTTTCTGTAGTTTGCAGTATTCCCAACATCTCTTTGAGACTGTGAAGTCTGTTCCAACATACTAAGAGTATTTGCATTATGTTCAGCTACAGTGGACTCCAGTCATTTTAACTCAATGTATAGATCTGCAGTTAAATGCTCTCTAACTTTTAACTGCATAAAGTTGTACAATACAATGTGAAATAATATAAAGAGCAACAGACTGTGCAATTTGTCACAAAGCAGCTGATGTTAATAGAAAACAAATACTCTACTGATTTCCCTGACTGAGAATTCCTGTTTAGTTAATCACTGCTACGATGTACGGCATCTCCTGTTTTCATGGGGGTTTTGAGTGCGCGCGTGCATGTGTGTATGTGTGTTCATGTGCGCTAGATAATTAACCGCAAAGCAGGGTTTGATTTATGTGCTTCTGGGTATGAGGAGAGGAGGCATGCAGTGTGGTAAGAGAGGACTATGCAGCGATCCCAGGTATAATCCTGAAAAGTGAGCAGTGTGCAGATGTGTGGGGGGTACAATGGGTCACTGTCACCATAGCAACATCCCCATTCAAAGTTACACCCCCATTTGTTGTACTGAAAATATACATCATTTCGAAATTTTAAATTTAATTGGATGGAATGTTAAGTAAATATATATCCAAGATTATATGCTATTTTGTAAAGCATTAAATTTAGACAAATTAGTTTAGAGAAGAGGCATTTTATCATCTAGTATAACAACCAGATCAACATTATTTCATGACCTTGTTTTGCATTTTTTTCTGTGACATGAGGCAAATACAAAAAAAACAATTCACGTTATTTTATGTCAGCTTGTGTAGGAAAAAAAAATATCAGTGTCATGAAACGATTGTACAATGCATTTAAACTATAACCCTTTCCAACATGGACTGATATTGTTTAAAAGACAGAAATAAAATAAATAAATGAATTTAAATTATCCACAAAATTCATTTATTTCTGTTAAATAACAGAAATAAATGAATTCTGTGGATTTGCCTCTCTTTTTCCTTTGTGGATGAAAAAACTTACAAAATCTTTTTCAAGGAATCTCTCATGATAAGAGCTCCCTACAAAAACAAGTCCTGGAGACTCATTCTTCCTCTTTTTCAAATCCCTTTTTTTTCGTTCAAGCCAGTTATCATGACTATAGATATTCTTTTGGCACCACCCACTGGACAGTAAAAAGTACTTCAATTTCAGGGAGACGACAGGCACATAGTTCATTTATTGGTATTAAGCATCTTGGTTAAACAATTGTCTCGCTCTGGCACTCAGAAGAGGCTACAAGAGAGTTAGACTTTTAGATGTGTAAAAAAATTATTATTTCTAAATTGAATCTCTGAATCCGTGTATATTCAACAAAATTACTCTTTTTGCAAGTAACATGTACTAGTAAGGGTTGTTACTTACGTTAGGGTCTTATTGCCCCCCCCCCCCCCCCCATTTGATTCAGTTTCTGACCTGCAAATTTAAGGTTCAAAACCATGCATTTTATTGTGCATTCTATGAATCTTCATATTGTCTTTCATTTAGTTTGTGGTTTCTAAAACTTGTCGACATGTCCCTCCTAAAAATTTTACAAGACAGAAAAAATTGATGCAGGGGCAATAATGTGAAAAACAGCAGAAAATGCTTGAGTGTTGTCATTATGATAAAATGCCAGAAATGCTGTCTTTAGTTTAAGCTCTAAAAATCAATGTCTCACTGCTATAACATCATAATTTAGATTTACAGTAACTTGATTTCCTGTACATTGGGCTGCTTTAAATGAGTCATGGGTTACCTTTTCATCTTTCTTCATCCTAGTGTTGTCACATTCCTAAGATTTTAACTTCAAAGTAAGCTTTCATGTTTTCCCCTGGTAGAGTGATATCTTGATTTTACAGAGCAGAGCCAAACGTGGGACTTACCATCTCCACCCAGCAGGTCGCAGCATAATCCGACGGCGAGGAAAGCAAGCTACACTCCGACACCACAGAAGAAGAACTACAGGAATAGGCGTTGCGTTGTGCTGCAAGTTGAAAACAGAAATGGCGGGGCGAATATCGTTAATTAGCACGGTAGACATGAAAATATCATGTGGGTCAGTTGACTGTGCTGTAAAAGGTGTGACTGGAGGGTCTCAGCACGCACCATAATGACGCCAAGAGGAGGAACGTGGTTGGCCGAGTTATGCTAAGCTAACTTCACAGTTTATGTATGCGGGTAGTTCATTGTTATGTTAGCGACCCTCACAGTGCCTCTTTTTACATGTGCTAAACAAAGGTCTTTAGGAACCGTAAAGTTGAAAGTACACTTGGGAATAAGACATCCAGAGAAACCGTAGACTATGTCATGCAATGGTAAAGTCATACCTCACACCCCTCTGGCTGTAGACTTCTGGCAGGTACGGAAATGTCCAGGTACGCGGTTATTTTTCCTCTCCCACATGCACAGCGACCACACGGTTGGTCTGACCTCAACCTGGAGCGACCGGCCCATCTACTGCTCTCCAACTACTGCCATCCTGCTAAAACTCAAACTGCAGGTGAGGGGATCACGCGAGTGTCCTGAGCGCGGGCACACCTGTGGGGATGGGTCTGCCATAACATCAACAGATGGCTGTTTCCCTTGCAAGCTCCTGGGATGTTAAATGATGAAGAAAGAACAATTTTTGAACCATGTTGCTACTGTGATGGTGGCGAGCGCTCAATTGTCTGTTTTTGAGGTTAACATGTAATTTGTTTCATTGAACATTGGTGCAATCAGGGCTTAAGCGTTAACTTACATCAGCAGGCAACACTTTCATTTTTTTTTTAATTTTATTATCCTCAGTTCCTTTTTTTCCTTTCTGTGCAGGTGAAAGAACAGTGGATCCATCCTTTAGAGCTGGGGCAGCCTCACCTGCTGCCCCTTGATGACATCAACAAGGAGAGGCTGACAGTCACTCTGATCGATGCCAACCACTGTCCAGGAGCTGTCATGTTTCTCTTCGAGGGCTACTTTGGCTCCATACTGTACACTGGTCAGTTTCTGAATACTAGGGTTGGGTATCGTTTGATTTTAAATCGTTTGATTTTAAATGATTCCAGTTTCGATTCTGATTCCTGGTTTCGAATATGACATCATGACAACATGTCAAATTTTCGTTTTGTTTTTATGTGTCTCAAAAATGCGCATATAGAGGTGTACTTGGCTGTAAACTGTACATTAAGATGTCAAGTTAGAGAACATTATATTTTCGGGACAGTAAATATTCCGAATCAGAGGGCTATTGTTTTCGGCTTATCTGATCGAAATCATAAAAGGCACACGCTTTAGAATACGTCCAACGGTAAGGAAAACATGGATTATTTCGCCTTGTTATGTACTTTCAACCACGCTGCCATCAGGGGGGTATTCTATGGCACAACACCGGCGAAGTGTGTCAAAGACGGGGCACTCAGGTATTTCTCCTCCATGAATCCTGAGGTGTTTAATCATGTTGGTCGTTTACCCTCCTTTGCATGATATAACTGTGTTGTTAATGTTGCACTGAGATAAGAGTTCATTCTTCCTGCTAAAGTTACACAAACTTTTGACCGCCGCCGCTGTGGGTAGCTATTCCCCCTTCCCCCTTTCTGTCTCTCTTCTTTCTCTGTGTGGCTTCATCTCATACGCTTCGTCCTCGTTGGTGTTCGGCGGCTATTTCTTCCGGACGATTCAGAGGAAATCGAAATGTCAGTCCCGGTCCCCATCGATGCTCAGGGCTCGATACCCAACCCTACTGAATACACAGACTGGAGTATTGGAGAATGAGAATATATCTGAAGCTATGGTTTGGTTTATTACTTTAGTGCTTCACCTATACTTAAGCATTTACACTTCTTTTTTTTTTTAATTTCAGGTGACTTCAGATACTCTCCCTCCATGCTGCGTGAGGACTGCTTGAGGAACAATACTACTATAGATGTCCTTTACCTGGACAACACCAACTGTGACCCCAACCGCACTATCCCCACCAGACACCGAGCCACTCAACAGATCAAAGAGATTATCCGTAGCCATCCTAACCACAATGTTGTCATCGGTAAGATTTAGGAAATTACCTCATCTTAGCAGGGTGCAAGTGACTTGTAAGAAAAGAAGTCCTATCAAAAAGTGGCAGCCTCATCTGATTTGAAATTATTTGTTTATATTTGCCATATTTGTTATTAAGTCTGAGGATATTTCTCTGTCACTCCTGAAGTCTAACTGAATGTGTCTGGTTTGAGGTCTTTGGCTGGTTTGTGGTGTTAAAACATAGCAAGCATTCAGAAGATAGCATCACTCTTTAAAAGCTAAAGTTGACTGATGCTCCCTGCAGAGACAGCTAATACACAGACCCTCATGCTCTTTTGCATTCCATTTGCAGGCTTGTATGGGCTGGGGAAGGAGTCCCTTCTTCTGGACCTGGCCATGGAGTTCAAAACATGGATCGAAGTGAGCTTTGAGAGGATGGAGATCCTGAAAGCTCTTGAGCTACCTAATGTCTTTACAAATGAAAGAGGAGCTGGCCGTATCCAAGCAGTGGATCAGTCAACAATTGATGGTGCAGCTTTACAAAAGTGGAACAAAGAACAACCTACTTTAGCCATCATACCCACCAGCAGACCCATTTTCTTCGTTCAGCCAAATATCCATGTGGTGCCCTACTCCGACCACTCTTCTTACCAGGAACTTGAGGACTTTGTCTGTGCACTCAAACCTACCTCCATTGTACCCATTGTAGGAAACTATGTCCCTGAAAGCATCTCAGCCTTACTGCCCATCAAGAAGCGCCATGAAATCCTGGTGCCTGAGTCAGTCCTACAGTATATGTTGAGACAGCCAGAGAGCTCGCTCAGTTTGTCAGCACATACCAGCCTTCATCGCAGACATTGCAGACCTTCTGTTCCCAAAGGTGTGATATTTGAGTCTCCTGAAAGGGGATCAATTAAGTCCTATGAAGAAGCCTGGGAGGCAGAGAGCCCTGAGCGGGATGTCTTTGACGAGGAGATGGACACAGAAAGCAGTGGGAAGGAATCCTACCGTATCCTTTCAGACCAGAACAAGGAACTCTCTCCAAACACACACTTAAGAGGGACAGGAGACGTCTGGAGCATTCAGAGTATGTCTGAAGAGCTGATACTAGCAGAGACAGAGCCTCTCAGTAAGTCCACCATTCTGACTTTGGCTTCACTGGAGTTCCCGAAAAACACAAAGGCCTTCCTGAAGCCTGTGAGGACTGCTGGAAAGCCTTTTATAACTAATACTACAACAAACAGCACACAGTCAAACTACAGCTGCCTGCCGAAAAGACATGAAACCACTGTAGATTACCACAGTTTGTCAGACAGTGACAGCCTGAGTCTGCTCAGTGGACAAGGAACCAGTCAGGATGAGGACAGTATGTCAACTAACACAAGTCAACACGGTGGACTTGGAAACAATCAAAACAACACTGTGACACCATACCCAGAAAGCCCAGATAGCAGTTCATGCATGTCATTAATGTTTTCAGTGGATGAGCATCAGGAGTACATGGAGGAGCTTGAAAACAGTATTTTAAAGGATCTCCTCTTCTCAGTGGAGGACTTTAAGGCATGTGGCCTCCTGCAGAAGAGTTTTGTGAAGCAGTTTCCCCTGTGTCCTTTGAATAAGAACGATGTGGACAATGTCCCAAACACATAATGTGACCTGAGGTTCAACCTTTTACCGTTGATTGGAGGCCTTTTTTGTCTTTGTGTGTAGAGATAAGCACTTTAATGTTTAAATTGTATAATATTCTCTCATCAGCACCTTCCTGGTTTACATATTTTCTATGTGGTGCCTCTGTGCTGTGCGGATAGCTTATCATGGCAGCCTTAGCCTCTTTGGTGTCTTTGAAAGAAGGTTTTCTGCAGTCAAAAACCTATCGATTTTGTCAGTATCATTGATGAAAGATAACACAGCATAAATGGGGCTGAGGAGCGAGTTATGTTATTTCTATATTCATGTCTGCAAAGAAACTTTTTCTAAAGAAAAACAAGTAAACCAAGGACTTTTACATGCGCCACCTTTTACTCATAGAGCAAACTTTCTAGAAACACTTGTCAACACTTTTCAGCAGTTGGAAAAAAAAACACTGTATTTTTTGAATAATTACGAATGCCATATGTTGGTTCAGTTTTTGCCTAAATGCCAAGTTAAAGTGAGAAGAACTCTATAGTGAACCATTTTTGCCATGCGCCAAATCAGCCTGTTATTTGAAATGTCTTACAGTAGGTGGCAGAGGCATCGACCTAATCGCAGTTCTTTATTGAAGATAATGACACCGAGTAGTACCAAGTGTATGAAAAGTATACAGTATGAATCATTATCGTTCAGTATACTCCTTAGCAGTTGTGGAAGTCTCTTTCTTTGTCCCACACTGCATATAAACAACAATGTGAAACTATTGACTCCAACTTTGCAGTCGTTTTCACTCTGACGTTTGTTCAAATAACACCCAAGTTGAATTCCTGGAGTCTACAAGTCTTCATTTACCTGTTAGTGTATTCATTTTGCACGTATTCTTTTCTGTCTGTATTCTCAGTTTGATTTGATGTGCGTTTTTAGGGCGTTGATGTCACGTTTTATTATCCTACCAGCTCTTGAGAATAGCTGCTATTGTTAAACAGTTTTCATGTCACAAATTAGCACAGCTGCTACAGTTGTGTCATTCTGACTTTTCTGGACACATGACCTGTCCTCTGAGTGTTCATGTAAAACCTACATTTTTTAGTGTGAATTTCTAGAGACTGTATTTACTGCCATCTTTCATATTTGTGAAGACAGCAGCACCATTTGTGTCAAACTAGAATCAAAGTGGTTCATTTCTTGTGATTTTAGAAGTTTTAGCTATTATACACAACAACTAATATTTCTGTGTAATAAATGCCTTTTTGTGTGAATGCTTACTTAATAAATATCTTTCTATTTACATATGAATGTGCTGTGGTCTTCTGTCTAAAAATCCACTTTTCTTAGCCTGATAAAGGATTGACACATCAACTACCAAACTGATGCAGTGCTACGATATCTCCACAAGATGGCAGTAGCTTGCTAAGAATGAAAACACTAAATGTAACGCTTGCCATTTGATCAGAGGGTTCAGTTTTCTGCGTATGAGATTTCTATGAGAACAAATTAATCTTGTGTATTTCAGATAGCGCCATCATAGTGATAAGTAATGGCTCAGCTCTCAGTAAAAGCCTGCAGTCTGTCCAAGGTTAGGATGCAAAATGAAATCAACTGAAATATGGTCTAACTGAGGAAGCAGATGCAATGTTAATGTTCAAGTCAATCTCAAACCAGATGAAGCGTCTCCAGTTTGAACATACACTGTTTACATGAGTCTAGTGTCCAACCATGCGTATAAGCCATAACTGCTATCAGCTGCTACCCAGTTCAGCCACCACACAGTAGCAGCATGGAGGTCTGCTTGGTTTCTGGTGCTGCCTGAGCCTTTATTTGAGTTCCATGATATAAAACACCAGTTTCCTGCAGTAGTTCAATATTTGATAGCACCCAGTTAACTAGCAGGCTCTGTTAACTCATAAGGTCCAACATATCCTCTAGTTGGACTGCTGAGAGTCATTTTGGCATGACTGGTTATGTGATGAGGCTGACTGAATTTACAAACTTACTAGTAATGGCAAAAATGTCATACGCTGCACCAAGTAGGATTTGAGAACTGCAATTTTGATGGAAGTTGAATAAAAATGAACCAGAATGCTGAAGACCAAATTTCAAAATACAGATACAATTAAACACATTTATGTAATGACATGGCACAAATCTACAGTATATGTATATATAATTAAAGCTATATATGCTTGTTGTCCTATTCATTTCCAAGCACAAGTACAGGAGTCACGCTTTACAAGGTTTATCTAGAGAACTAGTGCTGTCATAGACTGAGCCAGAGTAGGTGACAGATGCTTGATTTAAAGTATATTGAATAATTAAATGCTATAGAGTTTTTTTCCATGACAAGCAACAGCCACAGAGAACCTCAGCATCCATTCATTAAACGCCCCATTTACCTCTACAAACCAAACAAATACAGAGACAGTTATTTTATTATAACTCAGAGTTATTTTATTATAATACAGAGTGTTCTGAAAGCTTCAACAGCCTTGCTAAGGGCTAGCTATGACTCACTTATTTGCTGTTGTACATCTCATCACCTCCCTGGAACAGAGTGAGCAGTGTAATCGGTCCAAACAAACACCCCAATCGATCCAGCTGGCCCTGATCCTTACACGTCCCATTAGGCTGCACTTTGAAACTCTGCTTTGTGAGAAGTCAGCTCAGTGTGAGGTTCAGAGACCTCAGAGGCGTCACGCTGACACGTCATAAAGTCCCCATCAGTGGGTTGCCAGGTTGACATGAGCTGCCAACAGGAGCCTCCTCCTGTGGGCTCATGAAGGATGAATGAGCAGCTCCTGTTTGGAGTTCCCTTACATGCTGGAAGAAAGAGATCAGGGACTAACAATCAGTCATGGGCTCAGAGGAAACTGCATGTGAAGGAATAATGATGAAGACTAGTTGGAGTGGAAGTATTCAGACTGGTTACCAAAGTAAAAGCCCTAGTTATACCCCCCAAAATATGGGAATATTTGCCATTTGACTGTCGTGTTCATAAACAATTATGTTGGGACTAATTATTTTGATAACACAGACGGTTCCATTGACATGAATACTTGCTTTTGAGGAATCAACTATTCATTTTGAGCAAGTGACGCGCTTTTGCAGATTATCCACTAGGTTTTGCAGTTTGTACTAATTGTTCTGAGAAATGCATAAACTGTTGTGCAAATATTAATACTAACGTGAGAAATGCACTAAAGCTACTGAGGGAAAACTGTGAAATGGTTTGTGTATGAATAAAATGTGTTTTCCCCAAATATGTGAGATAATAACACATACTGCCCGGGGCTTTCATTCAGTGTGAAGTTTGTGGCACTGAAGGTAACCGTCAAGCTGACTTTTGTATTGTCACTGTGTTTCTATTTTCTTCTTTTTGCCTGGTAGGCTGTGTAAATAGTGTTTTGACCATTTTTTGCACCTTTTGTAAATATTTTTGCAATTCACCTCGGGAGGCTGGCTGTAAATAAATACTGTATCACCATTACTGCATTTTCCCAACTACACCTGTTTTTTTTCCCGGTAGATACTGTGATTGTTTGAACAAACCCTTCGACAATGTTGATGCCTTGTAGATATTTTAAAATCACATGCTCATTTGTTCATTAACTATCAGCCTATGATGCATGTCCATATTATGTACAATCAGTCGGAAAACAATGGAAGAAGTTGCTTAGCAAACACAAGTTCACTGACATAAATGTGTACTTTACAGCAGATATCAGTGAATAATTTAAACTCCTGTAGATACAAGTGTTTATAATGGTGTGAAGATTTGAAGGCAAGGGTGACGATTGGAGAGATTGGTAATTATTATGAATCTTGTTTATATGATAATCATGGTCCCATAGCGTGATCTCCACAAAATGAAGAGAAAAAGAATGGAAAAAATGTTCACCCTAGCAGGTGCAGGGCTACAAAAACATTGACCAGTGGGAGCCATCTGTCCCGGACAGCTCCTACTGGTCAATCTCCTGCTCTGCCTTTCAATCCAATCACCTCGCTATATTCGACACACGCCTCTCCCATAGTTCTGACTCGTTTCCTCCCACTCTCCTAGCCCTCCTCGGATCTCTGAGCGGCTAAAAGTAGCGTAGCATCTTAGCTACAGGAGCGGTGATGGAGAAGGACGCACAAAGAAAACACTTCTGCTTCTGCACCAAAAGTGCAAAGAAACACAAGCCGACAGAAGAAAGGGCAGAGTCGAAGAGGAAATGTGACCAAGGAAGAACATTTATAATTTCTTCATGGAAATGCAATCAGACCGAGTTGCTAAGACAGAAGAACTACCGTATCTGCAGTGCAAATTGATTAATATGATGATTATTACTTCAAGGAAATGATAAAGAAATTATCATAAATGTTCTTCAATGAGCTGCATCCCCCTGCTGCAGTTGATGGACTTGCCCGGAGGTCTCCGTACAAACAAGCAGCTGCCGGAAGAGAGAGGGTGAGTTGTGTTTAGTCTCTTTGCTAAAGAAATCAGGCAAAGCTTAAAAGATGTTTGATGGTCAGTACGATGGCTGGGACCCTATATGTACTGTTAATGAAGTTAGGTGCTGTTCTGAGCATTATTTGTGGCTATAGAGTGGCTTTTTGGTTGAGCATGTGGCTCTCTGTATTGCTATCTGCGGTTGTTACTAAAGTTTGTATAACTAGAGAAGCAAGCAGTCGACAGCATTCATCTCTCGATGGAGTGTCTAACTCGGTGTTATGGTGTGTTTGACCCTTGCTTAATGTTACGCCAGAGTATCCTTCCAAGCAAGTTTAGGGAAACAGAAGTCCAAAACAACAAAAGATACTCATGATTGATCAAAAAATACAGCGAATTTGTTTCTTAAGGCACAATTTTTTTGTTACACATGTTGCACGTGTTACAGTAAATTAATAAGTCGGCTGTATTTCGAGCAGTCATGGCTCTTGCGTAAAAGCTGTGTCTAAAGCCGCGTTCAGACCAAACGCGACCAGGTCGCATCGCGTCGCGTTGGTCGGTCAGGTCGCGTCGCGTGGTGCTCTGGTGTGTTCACACCGGGTCCAAAGTTGCAGTCGCAGGTCGCGGCTGGTCGCCGGTGACGTCATCCATGTCACTAGCTCAGTTTTCAGTTCATCAGTGCTGCCGCATATCTGTACATCCGCAGTAGACGCCGCCGGCGTTTATGGGTGCATGAAACCATCCGGAGGAGGACGGAGCTGGGTGAATTTCACCGCTTGCTCCAGGAACTCCGCCTGGACGACGGCCGCATCCAGCGGTATTTCCGTGTGTCGACGGCGCAGTTCGAGGACCTCCTCGCCCAGGTGGGAAGCAGCATCTCCCGCCTGGACACGAAATACAGGCGCTCCATCTCAGCTTCGGAGCGCCTGTCTATCTGTCTGTCCCTCATATAAACGTCTCTAAGCCCCTTCCACCGCTTGCGGCACACATCCACTGCAAAGACACACACACACACATACGTTGAAACATGTAGCCTAGCAAGCAGGGGCAGTTAGCTGGGTGGTAGCTAACGGATGTGATTAACTGCTCCTCCATTGTGATTCTTCTTCTCCTCTTCCTTGTTTCGCCGGTTTGTTGACGTCAGCAGAGCCCTGATTGGCTGTCGCGGCACGAAGTCGCTCCCAAAGTTCAAATATTTGAACTTTGGGAGCGACGCGACTTGGCGTCCTGCAACCTCGCGACCTCGGCGACGTGACCTCGGGGACGCGCCTTGGCGACCGGTCGCCCGGTCGCCAAGTCGCGTCAGGTCGCGGCTGGCCATAGACTTTGCATTGGGAGCCGTCGCCAAGTCGCGTCAGGTCGCGGCTGGTCTGAACGCGGCTTTAGTTCTTGACCTCAAAGTCTCCAACCTTGTGCCAGAAGGCAGCAGTTTCGTGAGTGGGTTGAATCCCTGAGGATGTGTTAAGCCTTCCCGAGTCATTGAGAGCTGTACAGTTTCTCCAGCGATGGAAGGCCACAACCAATAATTGACTGGGCTGAGGTGACAACTCAGCGCTGCAGCGCTTTTCAGTTTGCTTCTGTGCAGCTGGTGGAAAACCACACACCAAAGTGCATTCTTTAAGGAGCATTTGTAAGAAGATACAAGGTTATAGGTGCACAATAACAGAAACAAACTCAGCCAAGTTTGATCTCTTCATTTCTCCACTGTTGTGGTTCAAGCAGCTACCTGCCTCATAGTTCATAGGTGTATAAGAAATACCCACTACACAGAAAATGGAAAATCCACCTGCATGAGGTGTGTAGCAGGTGTTTGGACCTTGCAGTTGGAGGTAGGAGGACTTAAAATGGGGGCACTGAGGAAATGATG